ACACTATACACACCTTTTCACTGCCTTTTTTCAAAGCTCTGGTCTTCTTCTGAGATTAAATGTTCACGTGTTTATTTGTTAATTTCCTGCTGAAGGCAAGAAATTCAGTTGTATCCTCCCTGCTGTATCCTCTGTGCTCAACTCATAACAAACCTGTAACGTACACTTCTCTAGTATATACGCTGTGCTGCGTTACGCTGTGTGCCAAATGCTTTACTTGCATTATTTTATTCAGTCTTCATAGCAGTCATGGATGGAGTTATGATTATTATGTTAATTGAATGACCTGAGGGTCTTTAAATGAAATAATTTAAGATGAGACAGCCAGTGGCTGCATAACCCAGGCCTGGACCTCAGATGGGATGAAGAAAATCAAGCTCCTAACTTCTGCAACTGTTGTCTTCACTGTGGTTGACAAAAAACAGTGTCTCCTGAAAATATACAAGAAGTAGACTATTCTATATAATTATTAATTTGCATGAAAGAAAGAAGCTTCTAATGTGAGTCTTGCTATCCCACTAATTCAAATTTAGTTGATTAGAATATTCCTTCTTTCAATTAACTTGATTAATTGAGCAGTTACCATAGAACGGTAAGATTTCCTGGAACTGAATTTAAATAAATAGATAAGTTATTGCTTTGTATTAAGTAGAATAAATTACATGAAACAAATGTACTTTGTACTTAATAAGTATTTATTGATTAAGCTGATAAATGGCATGCACTGGCATTCAAAATTGGTTAGTTTTCTTCTTCCTTTTCACTTCCCCTCTTGATTTATTTCCAATTTGTCATTCTGTGAATTCTGCCTTTTATTGGGAAGACATAAGATATATGAGTTTGAGTAAGATGTATGGAATTTGAGTTTACAAGTTTAGAAAACTGTTAAAATAACATCAGTGGCACATTAGGTCACGGTTAGTATCCAAGGACATTTATCAAGCATGTAAGTGAACATTAATCTCGATTAGGTGCTACATTTTCGGGAGGATCTTGACAAAGGGCAAGGCTTTTGCAGGAGTTGGAAGTGGCATTTGACTGTAATACCTATGAACGTGCATATACACATTTCAGTGATGGGACTTTATAGAGAGATCTTGGTCTAAAAACTTGCTGGCCACTAGTATATTGTGATTCCTAAATTATTAATAGGTTGCTTAATTAAATACCATGTTGACTAATTGAGTGCCTGTTTAGTGCAGAAGCTACTGTAGGGGAAGAGGGTCCCCTGCCTACAAAGACACTGTGCAGTGGTCCCATCCCAATCAGAACAGCTGCCCCTAAGTGACCCACCTGCGTGAGGAGCTGCACAATCCATTCTTAGCAGGAAGTGAGAAACTTGCAGAGTCCGCAAGTGAAGAGACAGGCAAGGTGATGAAGCCTCAGATTTCTAGCCTTCTGGGTCAGATCTTATGGCAACATTTTATTAACTCCCAGAACAGCAGTTGAATTCATGTTCAAATACGGCACAAAAACAGCCGGCAAAGCAACACAGATGTTGCTTGTAGGTAAACTGATACCAGCCATTCGCCTGCTTTAGGAGGTCCTGCGTGCATCGTCCAGGTTTCCTCACCACCCCTTTATTCTTCCTGCCTTACTGGCTGGCTTCTCCCTCCTGGGTCTGACTCCCTGTGACCTCACGGGGGACAGCAGACACCCCCCAGCTGGCAATTCCCAAAGCTTCCTGGCCTATCCTTTCTCCTCGCTGGTTCCCAGTCAACAGGACTCTCAGTCCTTCTTCGTCTCTTACCCCTCAGCCTGCTCCATCTTCTTCTCTAGATCTTTTTCTTCTTTCCAAGTGTTAAATTTTCAAAAATTTAACTTATAGTAGATATGGGGAAAAAAATCTTCCGGCGCTGGAGCTGATGGAGGAGGAAGACGTGGAGTGTGCCAGAGGAAGTTCCGCATGTGGGATCTCCCCTCTGCACGCTCAGATTCAGAAATTAACATAACCCTTCCTGGGGCGGAACCACAGAATAGAAAGAAAACCCAGGGAACTGTGTGAGCTGCAGGATCACAGGAGGACAACAGGCACGTGACTTCACTGTGTGGGTATTAGCTGGTAGAGACCCTGCTAACTCAGGCCACGTTATTGTTTGATAAAGACTCCACGCGTGCCTGATTGGACTTTGAGTAGCTGCCCATGAGAAAATTGAGGGCTGCTGTGGCTCGTAGGAAACCCTGATGCAGGAAGGCAGTAGCTGGTGAGTCGTGATTGGTGGGATGAGAGGATTGTCAGACGGGGAAGGTGCAGATGATGAGGATGGAAAAGATTGAGAATGGCTAAGACGGAGGCAGCAGCTAACGCTTTCAGCAGTTTCCTAGGAATAGGATTAGAATTAAGTCATTACAGTTAGATCATGTGAGTTGAGGTTGTTACACCTATCTGAAAGCTATAACAAATATTTACTGAGGAAACTACCAAATGCCAGGAGTTGTTCTAATTGCCAAAGTTAGACAAATGAACAAAACAGAAAAAAAAAAAAAAACCTCTGCACTGAATATTCCCACACTTTTCATCTCAGGTGACTATTTTCAAGGCATAATAAAATGTGGGAAAAAAGAATAAAAATAATGTATTATTAAAATGTATTGCAAAGATAGAGATATATTTGTTCACAAAAGAAAAATTCTTTTTCTGACAAATAATTTGACAACTTTTGGTAAAGAATGTCTCTGAAGAAACAGAATCTGTGACTTGCTCTACGTGAAGCTCAGCACTATGTATGCTTGAAAAATATGGTGGATGCGCTGGTTTTGTAACAAATTGTACTAACAGTGTTTTTAGCTCAGTAAAAAAAAATAATCACTAAAAATCACATTTCCACACACAATGGGTAAGAGAAATTGCATGAAATGCTGGTAGCCAATTTTAATAAGTCAAGTTAGGGGCCAAGCTTCAAAGCTAGCAACTGGGCCATAAGCCCATGGATAGCACATCATCAGCTTTGGAGAACTTCCCAGCAGGGGAGGTTCACTGGGGCCAGTGACTGGATGAGTACAGATTGTGGGTAGGATCGTAAGGGTTTTTGGGTTCCCTCTGCATAGATCCTTCAGGTGAATTTTTTATAAGTCTAAAATATAGACTTAGAAATGCAGTGTGGTTCCATTGATCCATAAGTAAATCAATAAATATTCACTAATGCTAAATTATATTTGTAACAACTATTAATTATAAAATGGAAGAACATATGAAAACAGAGCATAAAGATATTATAACTCACATTTTGTTGGTGCTAACTTTTCTTCTAAGAGTTTCTATTTGAAACTGTTAACATTAAAGTGCTCTAGGGAAATTTTACATTTGATGTTCATCCTCTCTGAGAACATCTTCCTAAAAATAGACTCATTAGAGAAGGGACTCTGAGAGTGTAGGAGATGTCCACGTTTGTGCTCAGTTCTCTGTCAGATGACCTTTGGACCAATGACGAACCTACCGAGTTTTGAAAACCACATAATCTTTTTATCCATCTTTACTTTAAAAATCTCGTTCATTTGGATGGTAAATGACAATTTTTTAAAAGTTAATTTTAACATGTTTTTCAGTGTATAGTAGGTCGATTTTTAGCTAATTATTTCCATAGTAAGTACTAAATAATTGAAAAGTTGTCTAAAGTCTTCTTGTCCCATTTTTCCACGTCAGGGACTACGGGCATCATACACAGTGCTGAGAATACGCAGGTAGCCAAGGAAAGACGCTGTTGCTAAGGTCGGGAGTGCAGACCTTGTAGGAAAGATAGATCAGTAGATTAATAATCACAGCAGAGAACAGAAGTATTATTAGGAATAGCCATGGTTCGTATTACTCTTATATCACTATAAATGGAAGGGAGAATTGGCTAGTTCTGGCGGCAGTTCGGAAAAGCTGGGTTTAATGGTTACTCCTACTCCCCCAGAGACTGACCTTCAAAGCCAGGGGTCCTGGTCTGTTCGGTTTTGCAGCTGAGGACCCTGGAGTGATAACTGACCTGGAGCAGGTGCTCAGCCAGGGGGAGGGAGGAAGAGAACGTGGGTTATGATACGGATTAATCCTTCCTTGGGAACGGTTTTCTCAGTTTGTGTGATACGACGTCTTAGGAAAATGAAGCAGAGGTTCTCTTATATTCATTCCTTCTCCTAAAATTAGTTTCTTCTGCGTTCTCAAACTCAGTTTAAATTATTAATGTTAAGACTAGAGTCCAGGCTGACATTAGATTTTCAAAATTTGTCTATTTATTTGAAAAGACTAAACCCCTTTCTTCAAGTGGAAAGCAATTAAATTATTTTTATATTCCAAACAGAATCACATATATTGGATGACGCAATTTCTATGCTTCACTTGGTTTTTCATTTCAACTTGAAGATATTTTATTTTTTCTTTTTCCTTTTAGAATCTCCACTTCTATTTTCTTTCTTTAAACTTTCAATAATATTTTAAGTTCTTATTTGCATTCTGCTGTAAAGAAATTGGTATAGTTTATTGAAGAATAGAGCCTGAAGCTTGAAAGTGACTTTGGAGATCTTTTCCAAAATCCTCCTTTGAAGTTGAAAGGACAAAGCTGGGAGAAACTACTTATTAAGGCCACACAGCATATATTAACAATAGATAAATCCCACTGTAGGGGCCTTTCTCCAATCTTATTGCATGTGTGTACAACTAAGTGTATATAGGGACTCTTTGTACAACCAAATGTACATGAAGACTCTCTTTAGGCAGAAACGGGATTAAAATTGGATTACGTTGATATTGACATTATCCATGGCACTATCATCAGTTATATCATTTGGTGAATGGTCATGCTTTTGGAAATAATATAAGAAAGTGTTCTGGTACAACAACACAGATACCAAACCAAGAATACCAAAGGCTGAGCAGAATCCACTTGCCAACCTGAGTTCATGTACCACTTTTTATCATGATCAGATAATAGCTGACTTGGAGTTCCATGTGACTATTGTATCTTTACCACACTAATGAAAAGTTGTAGAAAATCATACTGTTTCTATGTATTTCCAGCTAGAACATGTGGATCAAACCTGCGTGGACCCAGTGGAGTCATCACCTCCCCTAATTACCCAGTTCAGTATGAAGACAACGCCCACTGCGTGTGGGTCATCACCACAACCGACCCAGACAAGGTAAGGCTTCCAGCCCTCACCTCCGTGTGGCTAATGCAGTTGGCACTCCACCAGGGTCACCTGTCTAGGCCTGGCCAGTGGTAGGCATCCTCACATTTTCCTGTTTGAATTAAAAAGTCCATGCTGCGTTTTGGCATTTTGTGTCTAGATACCCGCATTCATTGGAAGGCAGTCTGAGATGCAAATGTAAGGTGAATATTCTCGGCGTGGCCCCTACAGTGATTCTGGAGATTAAGTTGTTGTTCTTCCTTCACGTGCCATAGCGCTTTTTGATGTGAGTTATGTCTTTCTCAGTTCAGGTCTCAACTGCTATATCAGAAGCTTTCTTAGGAACTGCAGTATTTCTGCACAGCACTGCTAAGGGTTAGAAATGCTCTTGCTATACTCAGATGCAAAGAATGCTGTCTCTCAAATACTGTTTTCTAAATCACACTGTGTGTATGTTCTTCTCATGAGCTGTATGAACTTTCCAAAAAGTTAACATGTCTCCACACTTTTTCCAAGTTCTCATCAAAAAACATTGAATAGAATCTGTACTTTCCCCCAGAAGAATAAAAGAGGGCAACACTGTGTTACTTCTCTATAAGTTTTGCATGCATAGTTTGCAATTATGGTACTACATTTTAAATCGTAGGCTGAGAAACCATGTTCATAATCATGTTTCATTGGTTATAAAATGCATTTTCTTTAATTTGCTTTAAGTTCAGTATAGATACCTACCTGTGAAAAGAAAAAAAAGGTGGAACCATTTTCAAATTGATTTGATTTAAAAAAAAAACTGTCAAAAAATAATTAAAGGTATGGATTTCACTAAAATAAACAATGTTAAAAGGAATATATATACTAACAGTAAATTTACTGAGCCCTCCTATTTGCCAGTTATTGAGTTATTACCAATAGTTCTGGGTCTAAAATGATCACCACTTTGCTTTTATATTTTATTAAAATATGTGTCATATTTATGTAGCTCTCTCTTAAGGCTAAAAAAGTTCTGATTTTAGATTCAGAAAAGTGTTCATTACAGACGCCTTTTGGTTTTGTGTTGGCTTATTTTAATTCTAAAATCCCAGTGTTTTATTGGAAGATATAGGCTTTAATAAACAGAACTGGGTAAAAATTCAGGGTGTTGTAGGCATTCTTCTTAAAGATTGAGCAATTTCTGGGCTGTCTTTGCTCTGTCCAAAGCCTCCAAGTTTTATTATGTGCTTCTCAGGATGCTAGAGCTGTGTTGTTCTCTGGGATGTCGACTATGCTAATCCAAACCATATTTTTCCTATATGCTATTCAATGGCTTATTTATTCAAATTTATACTCTTCTCAGCCCTTTAGATACCAGTTCTACCACTTAGTAGTTGCATGAATTTGGGAAAGTGAATTAACTTCCCTGGGCTTTAGATTTCTCACCTGTAAAAGAGGTAGTAATTGTATTCACCTTAGAGGGTAGTTGTGAAAAATTAATAAATCAGTGTGTGTGCCTACATAAGTGCAAGATCATCACCTATTATAAGTTATTAGTACGAGCAGCGGTAACATAAACAAGCATGGGAAAAATAGAAACAAATTCCACATTTACATACTTTTAAATAATTAGAATATTCTGTTTAGTCTCTAGGAAGTTAAATCATACGATCCTGGGAATTTAGAAGAGATTTGAAGGTTAGATAGTGAATCTGCAGGAAGGAAGTACTAAAACAATTGAGTTTGTTCGGCGGGTATATCAGGTATTGAGTGGAATGAATGGTGAATAGACTACCTCTATTTCCGTGGGGGTTCAGATGAAAACCAGCATTTTATATTACAGGGATCGAGGTGTGTTTGGGGACAAAAGTATCTGATTGAGACATTTATAAAATATTGACATACATTACCTCTGCGATTTGAGAGGTAGAAGAAACTCTTTTCTTGGATGCGTTATAAAAAAGTGTGTGTGCATATATATATATGGCTAAAAGGAATTAATTAGATTAAATCAAGGGCATATGTTAGTTAACTTCTATGTATCTCATGTGTTTCTATGAGAATTGCATGAATCTATCAGAAAAAAACATCTTTATGAAAGTAGAGAAGCCACAGCGAGGGACTGTGCAGGCAGTGTCCCTCTGCAGCTGCTGCCTGCAGGTAGGTGGCACCGCGACCCTCCCACCCCACCTCTGGCTGCAGCCCGGCCCCTTTACCACTGTGGAGCCCCAGCCCCGCCCAGTGGCCCCCGGTCTCCTGCTTGCTGCCAGGGTGCTGCCGCTCAGAGCTGTGAAGCCTGCAGGAGTCCCTTCTGCAAGGGGGGACGATGGGGCACAGGGACACTCCCTCCAGTAGGTCTGAGCTGTGTTCTGACAGCCCTGCAGCTGTCCCCAGCAGGATGGAGCCAAGTGCCCGCAGGGAAACTGGCTCAGTGCCACACTCACGGGTGTGATTCTTTCCCTCTCCTTCTCTTCCTTCCGTTAAGACCCAACGACCAGGCTGCCGGCAAGCAAGGTTTTGCCTGGGGGGAGACTCAGGGCAAGACAGAGATGGCACTGGCCATAGTTTAACATCATCCCACAGGCCTTTCACATGGAGGAGGCGCAAACACGCCCTACCGGGGAGGTGGGAATCTGCCACGTTACTCCAGTGAGAAACAGGGCAGGCTCCCTGGGCGTGGTGCAGGGCATGGTGACGGGAATCACCCAGAGTCGACCAGGTCTCGACTCAGCAAGACTCGGTGACCAGTCAGGGCAGGGGGAGGGCGATGGACGGCCGCGGCTCTTGACTGTCCTGTTGGACACTGTTTTCCACGTGGCTTTGCGCTGTGGCTGGCCTCTAGTAGGTGCTGTGAGTGACAAAAGAGAGGAGGAATGGGGATGGCATTGAGGGTGAGCGCGTGTCCTGGTCTCCCAGGGCGTCCTGGCAATACCTGCTGTCCTTACCCTGTTAATAACAACGCCTGTGTTTGATTCTCAACATTGTTCCAGTGAGGAACAGTAGGTCATATATGCTCTCTACCTTTAACCAGGGAAAGGACCCCCGGAAACACCGTGTGAGGGGAGGGGATGCGTGTGGTTTTGGGCACAATGATGTTGAGGGTCCTGCCGTATGTGCAAGCAGATGTCATGGGCGAAGGTAAACTTGGGATCCCAAGTGTGTTGTTATTGATGAAACCAGGGATTAGAATGAGGACAGGCAGGAAACCAAACAGAGTTAAGGAAAGCCATGGAATGGCGTTATTTTTTCTCTTAAGGTCCACTGAAGGGTGGATTTGGCTTTGATTATAGTGAAATCATCTTCTAACTAAAAATGTCATTAAAGAGTTTCAAAATACTAACACTTTTTTGCCATGAAACAGACCACCCATGGTGTTTCAATCTGGAAGACAGGGCTTTCAAGTTAAATCTTCAGGGAATTTCATTCACATCTTTAAAATATTTTCAAAATCCACTTAAATCCAGATTACATATGAATAATTATAAATATATTTATTCTGCATGAAAGATGTGCCTATGGCATATCTGAGCTCCTTGTTCTTTCCTGCACATACGAGAATAATTGAAATTTCTATCTAAAGAGAAGCTTAGAGTTTGTACTGTCTCTGCCTCTTACTTGGCAAGGAGGAAGCCAAGACCTGGGGAAGTTACACTCGTCTTTCAGGGCACTGTGATAGCAGGTCACCAGCTTCCGTGCTGCCTGTGACAGTTATTTCTCTTTGTGTCTCCCTATTCTGTTATCACTCCAGTCAATGCCACAAGGAAATGAAGGAATGGTTGCTCAGAGCAGCAACAGGATGATTTTGGCTGTAGGGCAGAGAGCCAACTAAACCCCAGTGTCTTTAGGGACACGTTGTTTCACGTAACCAAAGGGCAGAGGCAGGGCGAGTCCAGCTTTCATTCGGTCGTTCAGTGACATCGTTGCAGGCTCAGGGGTTTGCCATCCTTTCCTGCCCCACGACCCAGAGCAGAGACGGTATTTTCCACCCAGTTCTCATGACAGCTGCAACGCTTCCAGCTTTAGTGACAGACACAATCACGTTCAATGAAATGAGTCTTGTTCACCCAAGAGATGGGAGAAACATTTTCTAGAATTTGTCTATCAAATTTCTTTCCAATTCTGTGGAGTTGAACACCCATGGTCCTGCTCCCTGGGACCCTGAGGAGAGAAACATCTGGAAGGCGGGAAGAAAGGGTGATGGTTAGTTTGTGGGTGACCAGCTGTGTCCCACCACATGCAGGCAAGAAAAACACCAAGGAAAGAGATTGGGGTTATTGCCAGATCCATCTTTTGTGCATGATGTGCTTCAAATCAGATCATCTTCCTCTCCTGCCAGACTCCCGTGGATTAACATGGGTTAAAGCTCATGAGATATGTTCTTTGACATTTTGATGTTGATTTTTTAAGCAGTTTGGGTTTTAACGTTTTTCTTCTCTCGTTTTAGAAGTTTCACTTTTCTCTACCATCTTTGTATATGTTTACATAGATTTTGTAAATGTTTTGCATAAATTTTGTTGATTCTGAACACTCAATAATCACCGAGCTAAATGTCGGGAGTCTTGAGTTATGTTGCTTCAGAACGCGTTTTGCTCTTCATCATGTACTTTGAAATGTTCGGAGAGGGAACCAGGTACTCCAGGCTGACGTCCTCGCACACACCAGCACCCTTGGCAGAGCACCACTTAGACACCTGAAGGCATCTCAATTAAGCAGAATTACCATCCAAATTAAGCAGCAGCCATTGCCATTAAGTATAATTAGGCTTAATTTGATTCCTTGGGAGACATTCCAAATAAGCGGGTTTCCCGATTAAGTGCGCAGTGATGAAGGTATGTCACATATTGAGCGTAAGAGAAAAGAACAGTTATGCAAAAGTTTTCCCGCAACGACTCTTGCCAGAAGCACTGATGGGGAATTTTGCGTAAGAAGAATTTTTACGCCTCAATTTGTATCTTTGACCTGCTCTACAGACTTTTAAGAAATAAGGTAGAATAAAAAACTAAATCTCCAGTGTCAACTATCAATTAGTCAACACACTCTTC